GAAGGAGGGGACGGCCGTTTCGGCGACGCATGCCTCTCTGTAGCGCACTTTGTGCTGGCGCTTGGAGTAGATAGCATCGGATCCCCCAAAGATCATGATGCACTCCTCAGGGTCAGGAAAGTTGTCCCCATCCTTGCCCGCCGTGCCTCCTTTCTTGGCCGTTGCCTCCTTGCCCTTTCCTTCTTTTGGCCCGCCAGCCTATCGCAGGAAGCGCTTGAGGAGCTCACAGTCCTTATAGAGGTGCTTGACGGGGTAAGCATGGTTGGTGCATGGGCTATCCATGAGCTTGTCGAAGTGGTCAGGCTGGCCCTGCTGGGTCTGCTTGCCCATGCGATCAGCCGTGGTGACCAACGTGGAGTTGGCCGGTCGGCGTCGATCCTTCATGTTCTTTTTGCCCCTTTGTGTGGAGGCTCCCTCGTCTTGATCCTCGTGCTTGGCCTTGTCCTTGTCCCGGCCTCCGTTGAAGACCGCTCCGACCGCCTCCTCGCTGGAGGCGTGGTTCGTAGCGACATCGAGCAGGTCGCGGGTGGTATGGGGCTTCAGGTAGCCAAGCTTATGGATTAGGGACTGACAAGTTGTGCCGGAGAGGAATGCGCTGATGACGTCCGTGTCGACGACATCAGGAAGGGACGTGCACCGCTTTGAGAACCTACGGATGTAATCCCATAGGGACTCATTGGGCTTCTGCTGGCAGCTCTTGAGGTCCTAGGATTTTCTAGGGTGGACATACGTCCCCTGGAAGTTCCCGACGAAGACCCTCTTGAGCTTCGTCTAGTCGCGGATGCTATCATGCGGGAGGAATTCGAGCCACGCTCGAATATGTTCCCCCACGCAGATGGGGAGGTACTGCATGATGAAGTGGTTATCATCCACTCCTCTGGCTTGGTAGGCGAGCCAAAAGTCTTCGAGCCATATTCTGGGGTTCGTCTCCTCGGTATACCTGGCGATGTTGGAAGGCGGTCGGAAGCGCTGTGGGAGCGATGCTCTTTAGATGCGTCGGCCAAAGGCCCATGGTCCCGGGCCATCCGGGCTAGGACTCCGGTCGTTGGGTTGGTGACCGCGCCTGGGGTGCGTTTCACCAGTCCCCTCGATGGTCCGGCCGGAGCCCGTGTCGTCTGCTCTCACCGCCGCCCGATGGACGTCATCATCATGCTGGGCCCAACGCTGGTTGCTGATGATGCTGCGAACATCTCGGTTTGGCCCGAGGCATTCGCGCATAGGTGGCCGGTGCGGAGCGGGCGCCGGGTCAGGCCGTGGTGCAGCTGCGCCCTCTTGTTCTATGCCCGGCGGCCGTAGTGGCGAGCGAATGGAACGGTAGGATTGGTGCGCCCCCATTCCCCCGGTAGGGAAAGAGGCCGCCAGTCGGTGGCACGACACGGAGTTCTCCGTCTGTTGAACGGTGGTGGTCTCCACCAGTGCCCGGAGGTTCTGGTGGACCGCCTGCTCCTGTGGGTCGACAGGCTCGGGAAGGCCGGGCAGAAGCATCACCGCCGCGGCGATGTTCTGGCCAGCCCGAGCGAACTGTGGGGGATCGTTCCCCCCGTCGACGATGTCGTGCTGAATCTGGTGGGCGCGACCCTGGGCGCCGCTTGCCGGGTTATACGCACGGGGCGCAGCGTGCTACACCGAGCGCGTCGACGCAGGTGGCGGCTGGTTCTGCTGCCTTTGTCGTAGCTCCTCGTCGTGCTCCTGTGTACACGCGAGGGTCCGGAGGGGTGTGGGTCTGTAGAGATTCTGCCATCACCGATGGCTGTCCCGGAGCATCCGCCATAGCGCACTCCCGAGACAGAGGGCAAGGTGCCACGATGTCGCCAATGCTGGAGCCATCGCTCTCAACATCTTCATCCATGAGGTCATGAAAAGAGGCGGGAGCGTAGCTCGCCATCCCCATGAATTCGGATGTGAGAGGGGGCAGCGCTAGCATCCCTCGGAGCCCCCGGGCGTACGCGTCTGCGGGGGACGTGAGGCCGTAGGGGAACCGGTCGCATGGCGGTCGCGGTAGGGACAACGGGGTCCCTCCGAAGGATCGGCAGAAAATAGTAAATAGCGAGTAAATAATATTATGTACGTTACTCACAGTGGGGTTTGAGCCTAGCGTAGGCTCAAAGCGAAGCGCAGGCGCCTCGTCGTTGAGGTCACTGGGAGTTCCAGAGCCGACGGAGGGCGCCCCTCCGATGGGCGTCGGAACAAGTGCCTTCTTGCGATGGCGAAGCACGCCGAGCTGGTTGGCGACGAAGTCCAGGCTTCCAAAGAGGAAGGCCTGGGACAGCTCAAAGACGGGTGGAACCCACATCCCAACAGGTGAGAGCATGGGAAACTCCAGCGAGCCAAAGCGAGTCGTATTGCTTGAGCCCGCCATGCCGAAGATGGCAGAAAGGTGGGTCATCCAATGACCAAAAGCGTGAACGTACAGCGTCTTCCCCACGGACGGCGCCAACTGTCGGTGCAGAAAGTGACCAACACGTAAATATTTGTAGTTTTTGCCATACGTTGTGATCGGATGTGGCCTAGCACTCAATGACACAGGGTTTATACTGGTTCAGGCAATGTGCCCTACGTCCAGTTTGAGTCGGTCGGTGACTTTATTCCTGAGCCCAGGTGCTCGAAGTTTGCTGTGGGGTTACAAACAAGAGGGAGAAAGATGGAGGTATTAGAGGTCCGGTCGGACTCTGGACCGAAGGGCCGAGAGCGACGGGAGCTCCGACGTGCGCTAAGTGTTCGAACGTCTGTTGTTCATTGGAATCGTTGGATGGTCGTTCGACTCATTCATGAATCGATCCTGGTGGTTCAATCGTCCGTCCCTTTTTGGGAGAGAGTGTATCCCCTTTTATAGATGAAGGGGTCGGTTTTTACAAGAGGGAGTGTGAGAGAAAGAGTGTGTGTGTGCTACCTAGTCTTGTTGCCCATGCCGTTGGGTACAAGGCGGTTTGTCGGCGCCCATAACACTGTTGGTGTTTGGATGCTTGTGGTTGGTTCCACCGTCTTCTTCTGGTATGGCAGATGTCGGTGCCTACCATATTGTAGGATAAATGTCGGCGCCCACAACATTGTTCATGTTCTGACATGTCTGGAAGGTTGCGGTGCATCCTTCTGACACGGCCTGACAGTACTGTCCTGCAGGTGTGCAGGGTACGGCCCTTGATATTGCGGTTGACCGGAGCGCCCTGCCTTACTTGCTCTGTCCGTTTTCTGGATCTTCACCGAGCTGGCGTCCCCGGTCGGTCGTTCCCTAGTCGGCTCCGGCCTCCTGGTCGGAGAAGAGCTATAAGCAGAGGTTCGATATACTCCCGGTCGGAGAGGCAAGTCGGAGTCGGAAGCGAGCGCCGTTCCTCCTTGGCCAGGCCTTCCGGTTAGAGAGGAGGGCCGGAGTCGGAAGCGAGCGCCGGAGTCGGAGGCGAGCTGGCCAGGCCTTCCAGTCGGAGAGGCGGGCCGGAGTCGGAGGCGAGCGTCGATCCTCCTTGGCCAGGCCTTCCGGTCAGAGAGGCGGGCCGGAGTCGGAAGTGAACGCCGGAGTCGGAGGTGAGCTAGCTAGGCCTTCCAGTCGGAGAGGCGGGCCGGAGTCGGTAGCGAGCGCCGTTCCTATTTGGCCAGGCCTTCCGGTCGAAGACTGGATCGCTCTTGGCCTGTCGTTAGGTTTTTTGGGCCGGCCCAGGAGTTGCGCGTCGTTCGCAACATCGTCTGCTGGGCTAAATTTTTGCTGGAAAGCAGATCCATAAGGGACTCTGGGTTTACGAACCCGACACAATGGGTCCAAGAGTGACGGTCTCCTCCTTGGGTTCCCTCGTCTTCTTTGACTATCAAAACAAAACACAATCAGTTGTTAATAAATTGTGATATAAGGACTAATATGAATTATACAGGAAAGACATAAAGCATTGACAGATCAAATTAAAACAAGGTGAGTATTTGCTGCAGGAACTAGTGATTGTTTCGTTTGGCCGTCGGTTGTCCACACACCAAGCAGTTATATGCTAATGCTAAGACAGGCATCTATCACAAACAAGTCCTTGTAAATGCTAAAATGTGTGGACAATGGTGACTACCAAGGCTCATCAACTATTATACTTGGGTCAATTAGTCACTACAACCAATATATATAATATAATCTGGGTACTCCGAGTTATTAGAATAAAGACATGATCCTCTGCAGCCGCTAAAACTAATTTTCATCTGCTTCCTATCAATTTTGGCACGATTTCTTTCAGAGGCGACGCAACAGCTTCTCGCATATGCATGTGCATGGTCATCTTCAACTTTTACTCTGTCTACACTTAGCAATTCTCTGCACTCCTAAAGTTCGGCGACTGCCTTATTTCTTTCACCATCAGTATGCATTGCTCCACTCTCAGCCGAGACACTCCATGCGATGACTTTCAGTAATGCAAGGTCGTAATGCGACATCACGCTAATAGGTGCATGCTTCCTTCCTCCAAGCAAGGCAAGAAGATAACATCATAGTGATTAAACTATTGTTTGCATAAAGGAAACAGCTAGTATGCATTAAGATAACATCAGCTTAACACCAGAAGCATTTCATCGAACAACTAGTATGCATAAAGGAAACAGGTAAAGCAAGCTAGCAAGTCACAGGCATTCCGCCAAACACATCATGCGCGTGAAAGAAACAAGCGACAGTGTAGCAGGCATTTCACAGAACGTCTCGTCTGCACGAACAGAACACAAGGAGCTGATATGCAACAAGCATTTTGGGCAAGCCCGCACGACCCAAACGGACAGTTCACCAAACACCTCATGGGCGCGAGAAATTAAAGGATCAGACTTTTGCTTCAATTTCTTACTCATCATTCATCAATTCGTTCAACGATTAACAAAGACAGTAGCAGCGCATCCCAAATCACTAAGATAACTAGATAAGAGGCCTACATGGCACATTCTTAACCCGATACACAGAACCAGAAAAACCTACACTGAAAGATCTCCTCTAACATTCTCAACTGGCATCCCGATCGATCTCACCCGCCTTGACAAGACCCGCCCTTTCAGAGAGCAAACAGCAGGATCGCCAACCCGGCGCCCACGGCCCACCCGCCCAGAGCAGCGGAGCAGGCGCAATAGCCAGCCCACAGCTCCACCTCGTCCGCAAGCCGGCGGCGGCGGGAGGCCGACTCCTCCACCACGGCGCGTAGGCGGTCGCGCGTGATGCGCCTCTCCTCCACCGCCACCATCTGCGCGCGCACCTCCCGCTGGACCAGCGCTGCCACCCACGCCTTCTCGTTCTCGGCCACCAAATCCCTCTCGGGCTCCCTGGCGGTGGCGGTGGCGGCCTTGGTGGTGGTGGTGGCGACGCCGCGGCGGCTGCTGATGCCCACCACGCGTCGAGTGGCCGAGCGCAGCGCGGACTGCATCTTGTTGCGCGCTCTTCCTCTCCTCTCTTTCTCGCTCGCTCGCGTGGTGTCTCTCTCTGGTCAAAATGCTTTTTCGGTTGCTCGCTTGCAGTTGTTTGCAGGACTGGCACCGGCAGATAAAGGACTCCGAGGGGGAGGAGTCGTGTGCACTGCACGTCTGCTTGGCGTTCGATCGGAGCCATTGGTTCCGTCGAGATGGTCATGGACCCCTTAGATGCGCCGACAGAGTTCGCCCAATAGCCCAGAGATTATAGGAATACGAATTCTAAGATCTGAATTGTAGATTAAAAATCCCCACCTATTTGGATCATTGATTCTAGCATGAGATTTTAACTATTTAAAAGTACTGTTTGTTGATTTGTCATGAGCGAAAAACATTGTTCCTTCGCTAAAAAAGTACGGCTCACAAGACAAGCGAACATGGCCAACCTTCTGGACTTGCGATGTCTTGCAATGCAACATTTTCTATACCAGAACCCAACGGTCGTTCCAAATTTAAACTCTTCGAAAATCTCCTTGGAAGCCCTACCTCCTATTCATCACCTCTTGATCAACTTCTGACTTATGGAACCTGACTTGATCATGCTCGCAAACAACTCTCCTTTCTCTCTCCTGCAATGGTTACGCTTGTCAACAAGGTGGATATCAACCAACCTTAATCTCAATGATGAAATTCTTGGGAACTAGTTAACAAATACTATGAAAGTCTCCGGTCAAACTCTAGTAAACTCAAGTCAGTTGGATCGAGATCTCAAGCCATCAATGGAAAAGCACTCCCTGTTGATGGTAGTTAATGCTCATCATAACCCATCAACTTAACTTATATAAATGCATGAAAGAGATCATCAACCTAGGTTTAGGTGTTTAAACTAATAATTTTCACAAGCTTTGGTGATTTATATATTGTAGGAGGATTTATCCAGAAAATAACTCCTAGGACCACCGTCATACACTCTAAACAAGCAAACCGACATAAATGAACGATTCGACTCGCAAAACCTCAAAAAGTTAACTCAATACAGAGTCAAGGACTCGCCGCTACAGAGTAGGGGCCACCTATCATAGGGACATGCCAGTCGGCCCCACCTGTAGGCCGACCGACCTATGGGTCTCGCCTGTTGGTCTCCGCTTCGTCGTGCGCTCTCCATCGCCTATGAGGATCAATCTCCACCGTGTATGAAGGTCGGTTTCAAGTCGGTTCATCCAACGGTAATCAAGGAAAGATGACGCGGATTGATGACGTGGCAATGCCTTGCCCCCTACTCCATCACCCTTATATAAGGCGCCCTCTACCCCCTCCTGGAGCATCACATCTGGAATCATTTGCATTCAGAAGATCAAGACCAAGAAGAGTTTACAACCTCAGAGCTCCCTACACATAATTCTATAGGCATAGATAGCTAAGTTAGATTAGAGAGTTGAGCATCTTCGCTTGGATTCCTGATCCCTGTCAAGAGTTTGGCTTTGGTATAAGTTTTGTATCCTTTATTCATATATTTACTATGGCATTGTTCTATACATTTATCATGTTCTTAGTTATTATGTTCATCGTCTACTTTGATTATATGCTTAGTGTATGTTGGTATTTATTAACACACACAGATAAATCTGCAAGCACACGGATACCGCTGTAGCTTTCACCTGGAAGTATTCCAAGTATCGTATCCACAGGAAAACGTGTGAGATTAACTACGTCTAACTTAACCAGGAGTAGCAACAAGACTTAAGATAACAGGAGTATAAAGGAGATCATAAAGGTCTTCTAGTTCTAATGTCGGTAAGCTATGTTTTCTATTGTTCAATTCTGGAGATATTACTAAGGAAAACACAAGTAGAGTATGTTTCTTATAGTAACTAAATCCTGGTCGGCCTACAAACGGGAGGTGGACTACAAAGGATTCAATAAGGCTATAAGAGTCACCCTCATGAGCTACCATCGATACGGAATGTAGAGTACATCCACGAGTGACCGAGTCTAAGCACCACGCTTACACTATGAATACTACTTTAACGCAGGAATGACAAGGATTAAAGTACTAAAAAAGAGTCACAAACCTAAAGAACAATATAAACACGTTACTTGAATTAGAAGTTGATTACCAGAGAAATCTCAGAAGCAAGCTCATAGAGAACTTGATTCCACCAGGGTACAAGCCGTAGAGAGAGCACGGATAGGCTGGTACTTCCTCCAAACTCTTCCCTCATATTCTATCTCTTTATTTCTAATACAAGACTAGGTCATATAGAGGACTAATCTTCTCTTGATAGCTGGCTCTGATCTTGATGAGGAGGATGTGAATTAGGGTTTCAGGATGCCTCAGGGAGGGGGGTAGGGGCTTCTTTATATAGGGGAAACCATCAATTCTGAGCCCTCGGATCAAACCAACTTAAAGCAGCGGTGGAGATTGACCCCTAGAGGCGGTGGGAAACCGACATACGAAGGAGGGGCCGAATGGGTTTCCTCATAGTCCAGCCGGCCTAGGGGTTGGGCTGACCAGCCCACTTCCAGAACCGTTTGCATCCATCTTTGGTGGTTCACCTTCTAGAGTGTTCTAGAGTCTTCCCAAGTCGGTGTCGTCATGGATAAACGTAATTTACTTTGACGAATGGGTCTCCCTTGATGGTTCTCTGATTAAATCCTCCGGCAGTCACATATTCACCAAAGCTTATGGAAGTTATTAGTTTAAACCTATATTCCTATGTTTGGTGATGGAATTAAGTATATATGCAGGTTATATTAATAGTTTATAATTGATGTTAACGACCATCAACAGTGTAGTCGAAGTTATTGTGGTATTTATGCATATGTTCGTAGAGCGCCATCCTTAAGTTCGAACAGAGTGAGTGGTTGACATTGTGTAAGCGTGGTGCTTATACCGTGTTTACCTGCGAATGCACCCTACATTCCAGATCGTGTGGTAGATCATGGAGGTGACAGCCCCGTTGAATCCTATGTAATCCACCTCCCGTCTGTAGGACTAGTAGGACATAGTTGCGATGGAAGTAGTCAAGCTCTGTTCTTGCTCTTCATTAGTAATGTCCCTTATGCATAGATGTAAGATAATCTTTTGCTATATTAAGTATGTAATGCACATCAATGTATGCTTTGACTTGTAGCTATAGAATAACTTAGGAGTTAACCTCTCTTGTATCTACTTAGTCTTGCTATTGCTATCTTATGGAGTACTTTGAGTGTTACATTTATCATTCATATATTATTCTATCTCTTGGTTTATCCCTGTTTAGAGTAAGAGTGTTGGCTTATTGATCCATCATAAGTACAAGTTATCAATACCAAGTTACAAGTTATCAATAACAGTTACCAGTTATCAATACTAGTTTACATTCAGTACTCATCATCAATACTATTGATATCCATACATTAGCCAGACCTTCCCTATGATGAAATATAAATAATAATACATGGAATACTCCCGGGTGAAGTGCTACAATTGTATATCTGTGCGCTTGCAGATTTCATATATTTATATTATTTCTAAGTCACATTCATACCATAAGCATTTCTGGTGTCGTTGCTAGGAGTAGACTTAAAACTCCATTCTTAGTAATGATGCTAAGAAATGTCAACACTCCCCAAGCTCAAGTGGTGTTAATCAGCTTTTTATGAGCAATGGTCAGTCCTCAATCCTAATTCCTCAGCTTAATTAAGAAATTGAAGGCCTGCTTGGTTCATTTGCTGGGTACTATTTGACCTTGCTAGGGTAGGATATTGAACAACATTGCTTGTTTGGTTGTGTTGCCTAACTTACTTGGAGCTTGTGCATGCAAGCTTTGCCTTGATAGCCTAAGAGAGAGCCAAATTGGCTCTTTTGGCTGGGCAAGGTTCCCGTGCTCTACGCAAGCTAGGCAAGGCTAGGCTAGGTGAGCAACCTAGTAAAACCAAGCATGCTCTCATGCTCTTGATGTTCCCTCGGGCCATTCTGAAATGCCCCCAAACTGTTTCCAAAATCTTGTTAGACTCTGGTTGACCAGTCAACACGGTAGAGTTGGAGATCGAATCCTATTCAGTTATGATATAGGTTTCCTAACTGGTTATAAGGAAATCTGTTTGATCCTATTCGGTTATGATTTAGGAAATCTGTTTTATTGAATTGATTATTTTAGGTACATCTTGCTTCCCAAGTCGATGATGCACCCCATCTAGGTTGGGCCTTACATTTGGCTGCCTCAGCCCACCCTGTCTCTAGTGGGTTTTCTATAAGCGATGAGGTACCCTGAGTTCATATAACCAATAAGAGGTATCTCCCATTGTCACACTAGGTACAATATTTTTGTTGTTATCGAGGAAGACTTTTTTGATGCTTATAGTTGCAACTCATGGAAAGCTTCAAGTGTAGTACTTCATTTGCTCTTTTAGATATACCCCCTCCGTCCGAAAATAAATGTGAAGGGACTGTGACGCCTAAGAGGGGTTAGGGTGAATTAGGCAACTTAAAAACTACTTCAAAAGCTATGGCCTCTAATTTCCACACAGTCAAAACCTATGTAATAAAACAATCTATCTAGATGTGCAACTAAGGTTTTGTTAGGTGTTTTCCTATGTCTATCGCAAAAGACTATGCAACCAAAGTTCTAATCCTATCAACTAGCCTAGCAAGCTAAACTAGAATATAAGCACACAACCGAAGTACACAATATAAATTATTCACAAAAAAGAAGAAGTACACAATATAAATGCGAAAGCTTAATTGAAATAGAGATGCAAACTCCTGTCGACGATTTTGGTATTTTTATCGAGGTATCGAGAAGCTTACACTTTCTCCTATTACTCGTTGGAGCCCCTCGTAAGGATGCCCTCGCAAGGGCCAAGATCCTGGTTAGGTAACTCTATGGATATCTCTCAAGCCTTTCCCACACGCAAGTGGGTCTCCGAGATGGCCTCTCCCAGACCGCTCCCCACCGTATTATGTAACACCCTCGGTGTTACACAGTAAATCATCTACTAAAATATGTCATGAGCATCATGTTTATGTGTTAAT